TAAGTAAATTATGACTACGATATTCCAGCTGTTTAACTTGAGATCCTCTCCATAAGATACGGTCACACCAGGCAGGTGCGCGACCTTTCTCACTGAAAACGAGTAAATTAATGTTAGAATACTCATATTTCTTTTATTTTTCTTCGAGCTGTGGAGCTATTGTCTGCTGTACCCGTCAACATGACTTTGCCACCCGTCCTTCAACTCTCAACTCTTAAAACTTGATTTGTAATTTTCTCATGTAGCTGCCACGCACCTCTTCGATTCAATTCATTTGCTTTATAATGTATTGATATTTAATTGTAAAAAGACATTACATGCCAGTCACTTCTGGAAGTTCAGGGGTAAAACAGACCCAAACTTAAATGGAGGTAGGGAAGTTTCAACCCATTTTGAGTCCTCTCAACATCGCTCCCACCAAAGCGAGTTGGGCCTGACAAATATTATCATATTTGGCACCGAGTAAAACAACCAGTCACTTTGCACAGGATTACGTGGGAAGATCTCGTAACGTGGAATAGGCACGCTTCTCCCCTCAAAACATCATCGAACTCCATGAAAAATTTCCTTGGCTTTCATAAAGTGGTCTTTAAAGCGCAGCATCGTTGTTGGGAAAAGGAAAGCTTAGAAAAATTAAAAAGGTACCAATTGAGGGTAGTGCTCTAAGCAGTTAATTCTTGACATAAACAATTATACTTAAAGAAACATTCCCTGATCAATACTCCAATTCCTGTCTAAAGAGTCTCACAACTACCCAAAATATACGTTAAAAGGTTCCTTATAGGAATAAAAATGTACTTTATTCAGACTACATGTGCCCTGTAAACACTGTGATTATGCCAAATTCACCTTGTGTCCCAGTTGTCTGTCCCAGGATCATATTTGTACGTTGGTTTGAACTTGATCTTGCCCTCTTTGAAACCATTAAAGCATTTCTTCTCAGATCTTTGTTTGATTAGTTGGTCATTCTCTAAGAGTTCGTCATACTTCCCTGTATCTGCTAGTCTTCTTACCAAATCAGAATCCATTTCGCTAATTCTGTAATTTAGATCTCCTAACCAGAACACTGCACTAAAAAACGACAAAGAAAAAAATCACTGTTAAGATAGGGATGAGAGGATATTTTTCCATGAACACCAACATCCCACCTCACCCTACCCCTGTGGAAGTCCAACTTTTCTTTATCCCTTGTTCTGCTGGTTTGGTTTTCAATAGTTTGTAGCTATTAAAATTGAAAAATTTAGCCTTCCACGTCACTTTTGTGATGTGAAATTTAAGCATTCATCTTCTCGGTCCTAGATCATCCTTTCTTCCCGAGAGCTGATTCCTCTTTGGTGCTTCACTTCCTCAATAAACTACGTTTCACTCATTTCCTTGTATTAAAGACAATTACAAAAAAGCAATGCTAATCAAAACTCTCCACTGTGCCTTCCAGAAAGAAAATAAAGAAACTTTAGAAGCACACGACACTGACTTACTCATGATCAGTAATACAAAGAGACCCATCGGCTCCATTAAACTCCAGCTTGATTAGAATATCTCGATAGTCCTAAAGGTTTAAAGGAAATAATTTACCCCACATTTCAATTTATTATTTCATTTCAATTTTATCAGTTATTCACTATACATACACTTTATGAAGGCACTTGTACACTCCTACAGAAGACTAGAACAAATTGATTGTGACACACATTTCAATCATTGGCATAAAATAATTCATTACCTGGTTCCTTCTTTCAAATTCTTCTGTGTGAGCTGCTAGATGTGAATTCACAAAACAAATACTGGTGTTGTGTATCTGC